TAGCTGCTGTATTGTTTTTTTAGCTGCTGTTTTGTTTTAGCTGCTGTATTGTCTCTTTTAGCTGCTGTATTGTTTTTTAGCTGCTGTATTGTTTTTTAGCTGCTGTTTTGTCTCTTTTAGCTGCTGTTTAACTTGTTTGAACTCAGTTTTAGCTCATGTCTGTCATGTGGTCGGTTCCGAACTTTTCGGATCTTTCAGCTTTTTTTTTTCCCCGAACCTTCAGCTGATATGTAGCAGGCCCTTCAGCTCGGATCTGGTTCTGTGAGTTTAGAAAAGTTCTGCTCGGTGGATGGACCGGGCCAGGAGGAAATCAGGCAGGGAGGGGGAGGAAGAGGAGGGAGAGGGGAGGAAGTCTGGAGGACTGGATTAGTGGGGGGACCAGTCCAGGACCTGACCCGTCTCTCAGCACCCTCGGGTCCGGACTGAGAGTCAAGGACTCAGTTTGGACCTTCTCTGACGGAAGAGCTGTTGTTTCCTCTGAGGAAACGGACCGGAACCAACAGAACTCCGAACAGAACCAGAACCAACAGAACCACTATACCCTGAGCAGAATCAACAGAAACTGACCAGAACCAACAGAACTCACCATATGGTCCAAAGTCGAACCCGGCCGGTACCTCCTGGGAGCTGAAGTCCTCCGTGTAGAACCCGGTGTGACAGACCTCCATCTGGACAAAAACAGAACCTCCTCTGAGAAATAAGTTCGGATCCAACCTGCTGATGGGTGCCAGGAGTCCGGTCCAAACTGAACGAACCGGGTCATCTTCAGAACATAAATAGAAACACCAGAACCGACCTTGAATGTGGACTCTCTGGTTCTGAGGTTCTGGTCTCACTTCATGCGGTTCCGTCCAGAACTCTTCGGTCCGGTCGGGTCCGGCGCGTTGCGGGTCAGCTACAGGTTCTGGGGCTCCGGCCCGCTTTATAAGCGCGCGGCGGGTCGTGGGCGGGGCGCGCGCTCTGGTGCGTCGTGACCCGCGGAACCGAGGTTCGTTTGACCCCCCCGGTGACGTCATAACCGACCCCTCCCCACGACCAACATTCATTCATAAAAGAGCCGAACCCGACCAGAACCGGAACCTTCTGGGTCCACATAAAACTAATTCCCTGTAGCGAAATAATTAAATACAACTTTATTTAGACAAACAAACAAACAAACAAAAATAAAATAATTATAATTATTTTCTTTTATTTGTTTAAATTAATGAAATTTTTCTGTTCGTGGATCAAAAACCCAAATCTGTAACATTTTTATGAGCAGAACCGGTTCTAAAAGTTCTGTCAGAGATTTGAATGTAAAAGTGAAATAATATTTAAAGTTCATAATTTTTTATACAAAATGTTTCACTTTGAGTTTAATGACGTCAGAATATTTATCAGGAAACTAATAATCTCTAAATTTAAAAACAAAGAATAAAATCTGCTTCAATGTTTCTAAGTTGTTATAAAAACTATTTTAAATAAATAAATTAATTAATCTGAGGCAATAACTTAAATATTTATGTAAGTTTTATTTTTACAGATTAAAATTTATTAAAAATTAGTTTAATCTGAAACACTGAGAGTCTGAGGGCCTGGTCCAGATCTGCCATCATCATGGACCAGGACCATGAGACATAGGACCATAGACCAGAACAGGACCAGGACACATGGACAAGGACACATGACATACGGACATATGGACCAGGACCGCAGGAAACATGGACCAGGACACATGGACACATGGACCAGGACACATGGACCAGAACACATGGTTCCGGACACATGGACCAGGACACATGGACCAGAACACATGGTTCCGGACACATGGACACGACACATGGACCAGGACACATGGACAAGGAGACATGACATATGGACATATGGACCAGGACCATAGGAGACATGGCCCAGGACACATGGACCAGGACACATGGACCAGAACACATGGTTCAGGACACATGGACACATGGACCAGGAGACATGGACCATGCACCATGAACCAGGAGATGGACCAGGACCATGCATAAAGACCTTGGACCAGGGCACATGGACCAGGACCCAGTCCTGTTTCGTCCCATGTGGATGAAGACCAGACCAGGACTGATGGGAGTAAGTCCTGCGGGTCGGGACCTCCCTGCTGGTAGAACCCGTCCAGAGGAGCACCGGAGGAGGAACTCTTGAGACATCCTGGAGGTTCTGTTGGACTCTTGGCTCGGACCGGTCTTCATCAGAATCTGGACCTTTTGGTAAAAACTTGTTGAGGTCCAGCAGGAACCCTGAACGATGTTCATCACTTCATCATCTTCATCACTTCTTCTCTGGCGGCCATTTTGTCGCGTTCAGGGACCTCGCCCTCCCGTCCTCACTGTTCAGGAACTTTTGGTTTCCTTCATGTTTAATGTTTGATAAATGTTCAGGTCCAGAACTCGGAGTTTGATGGACCGACCTGAGCCGAACCTTCTCATTAAAGACGAACTTTGTGACGAATAATCCAGATGTTCTGATGAGCAGATTTCTGCTGCTGATTGTCTCCAGACTAAATAAATCAGAGCTGCTTAATGAGGTGTGTGTGCACGCGCACGTGCAGAGAGCAAACAATGGTAAAAATCTCAGCGTGACTGGCTGCAGGAGATAAGAGTCCTGAGTAAACACACGCACACACGCGCGCGCACACAGACTCCATCTGGAGACGTCGTGCGTAGACTAGAGTCGTGACCCCCCCCCCCCCCCCACGCCTCATTAAAACTGTTTCAATTATCAAACAATTAATTAATAAGTAACTGATCCTGCCGAACCTCTGCGGCTCCGGTTCGGTTCCGAGAGACTTGACTCTTTAAAAAGTTTAATAAAAACAAGTTTAATGTTTCAAACAGAACCCGGTTCTGTTTAGTCTCTTTGGATCGGTTCCGACTTGGACTGGCTTGTTCTGGACTCGGTTCTGAATCTCTAAAACAGATTTTAGTCTGATCTGGACTCTCGATAACAGACGGTGTTGACTGGACAGGAATAAAACCCACAGAACCGAGTCAGAACCGAGTCAGAGAGAAACCAGGGAGCTGGTGAGGACAGGGGGGACACCTGGTGGACAACAGGTGAGGAGCTGAGATGAAAGTCCAGAACCCCGACAGAACCAGAACCAAACAACCTGAACCGCAGAAGAATAAAGTTAATCAAAAAACTAAAATCACTTCAGACTGATTTAAACCAGAACTGAGCCCCCCAGGTCCACCGGGTCCAGGTCCACTGGGACCTTCTGTGGGGGCGCTGCAGGTGGTTCTGGGTTGCTTTAAGGGCGATCCGGTCCCAGAACCAAAGCTGAAGTTGAGTCCTCATCCTCGGTGCAGGACTCCTGGTCCCTGGTCTCTGACCCTGTAGTGGTCTTCAGGTGGGGGTCCTGTTGGGGAACCTCAGGGTCTCGTCTCTGTAATGATGTGGTTGGTGTCTCTGGACCAAGACCTCCACCTGTTCTGGGGGTTCAGTCAGTTCCTGACTGACTGTTCAGACAGTGCCTGAGGCCATGCCCCCCCACGAGAATGGGAGCTTGATCCTGAGTGACAGATACCGTCAGGTCCTCAGTAATGAGGATGTTGCTCCGGTCAGTCGTGGTGAAGAAAGAGTTGAGTCTGAAGGCCAAGCTGGATTTACGTTGCAACCCTCACCTGTGCTCATGAGGTCTGGATCAGGACCCAAAGAACCAGATCCTGAGGTTGTGGGGGTGGGAGCCCCCGCCTTAGAGACAGGGGGAGGAGCTTCATCATCCGGGGGGAGCTCGGAGTAGAGCCGCTGCTCCTCTGCATCTAAAGGAGTCAGATGAGGAGGTTCTGATCAGGACACCTCCTGGACCCCTCAGATCACGTGCACCCCTGGACCAACCCAGACCCCTCGGAGGGATTGGATCTGCTCTGGTCTGGGAACGACTCGGGTCCTCCAGGGGGATCTGGGGGTGTGGCTTAACAACAGATTTAACAATAATTTTATTACAAAGCTTTTAATTTGGTGAAACTTCCTGTTTAAATATTCTAAAGTCATTTATTTTTTACATTTTCAGTTTATCGAGTCAGAATCTGTTTTTGTTTTGTTTTATTTGTTTATTGTTTGTGTCCCGCCCACTCTCGCGTGTCCCCAGGTGTTTCCTGTCCTCAGCCTCAGTCCGGTCGTTTCATGTTAAAGTCAACGTCCCTCGGCCCTCCTGGGTCAAACTGTCACTGCACAGTCTGACCTTCGGGGTGAGTTAGTCATGATGATTGACAGCTGTCTTACATGTTAATAATGTTCTGGGACGATGGAGTCCAGAGGGTTTGTCGTGACCTCTGACCCTTCAGCGGCTCCTTCCTGCAGTTATTGCTGATGTCTTTCCACTCTGGCGTCGTGCAGTTCGTTTGGACCTCAGCTTGTGTTTGAGCTGAACTTCAGGCTCTGCGTCACTCTGGGGACGGTTCGGAGATGTTGGTAAAAATCCGGAAGTCTTTCTTTAAATCGTCCTTTTTTGTTTGTTGTTCTGTTTCTTCTTGCATGCAGGAGGCGCGTGCAGGAGGCGCGTGCAGGAGGTGGAGGTTTCATCAGTGTGACTTCACTTCCCAATTCAGAGGCAGCAAAAAAAAAAAAAAAAAAGAAACAGAGCTGCAGCCATCCGGTGTGCGCGCGCGAAACTGTCACGCTGTTTGCGCCACGCAGCTCGGTTGCATGAAGTGAAGGAGCTCAGAGATTCTGTTGGACCGAGCCGAACTTTTCCCTCCTGGGACAGAATCCATGCGCATCAGGGGATGGACTGTCCGATCAAGGTAAGGTTCTGGCCCGGCCCGGCCCGGCCCGGCCCGGCCGCAGCAGAGAGAGAGGCTCCCCACTCTTTCCTTCTTCACTAAAGTTCCTCTTCCTTCCCGTTCGTGGTTGAATGTCGGTTCTGTAACAACACAACTAACCGCTTCTTCACGCGCACAAGCAGAGCCGCCGCGCGCACTCTGCAGACCCAGTGCTCCAGGTTCGGCTGCTCCGCTTCACGCGCGGTTCGGCTTTGACTTTCTGGGCTCGACCCACAAACAAAAAGCAGGATGAAGGACGTTTTACAGCAGGTGTCCCTGAAGGCACCACGGACCCGCGGGACCTGGAGGACCCGGCCCGCCGCACCCGACCGGTACTTGACTCTTCACGCACCTGCTCCTCTTCATCAGAACCTTCTTTGGGTTTTTGCTGCAGAACCCGCGGATCCGAACCTGTTGCGCAACGACGAACTAAAAACTAAAGAACAAAAATTTAATTCGTCCCGAATCTGATCAGAACATCGATTCTTCTTCAAGTTCATTCTTATTTAATCAAAAGTTCGATTCTTCTCTAATTAATGATTAATAACTAATAATAATAATTTAATAAATTTAATCTAACGAAGCGTCTCGTTTGAACAGTTTTAGGATAATTTCCGAATCGAATCCATCGGATTCTGATGAAAGTTCGGATTATTTTCTGAGTTCGGGTTCGGGTTGCGGAACTCTTGTTCTGGTTCGGATCAGCTGAAAGACTTTCGGATACATGTTCTGATTCAGTTTGGGTCTGAAGCGGAGCGCATTTTATTCAAATAAAAATATTTGATTAGTTTTTTTTGGACCTCCTGGTGTCGGCCCGGTTCTACTCTCGGACCTTTCGTTTGGACCTGCTGGTTCTGTGAGCTGCAGATTGTGTTTGTGGTTATTTTAGGCAGAGGTTCTGGCTGCGAACGGAACATCTCGTCAGGTGTTCTTATCTGAGCTCTGCAGACTTCCGGGCCAGAACCGCAGGCTTTCCGCAAACACTTCCGCTGCCCGGACCCGACAAAAACAAACTAGAAGCTGCATGAAAGGCCAGGGCCAGGGTGGACGGGCCGAACCGAACCGAGCCCCGCAGAACACCGCACATCAGTGTGCGCATGCGCGGATCATTTCGCAGACTCAGCTCAGAAAGTTCTGCTTTCCTGAGGCCCAGATTAACCCAACAAACAGCTTCAGGAGGAAAACTAAAAATCATAAGGTAAAAATATAAAATAAGACGAGGTTAGAGACAAAAATCAGTTTGAGTTTTCAGAAAAACTCCGAGAGGAGCAAAAATAAGGCCCCAAAACAGAGTTCCTCTCATCTGGAATAATTAAATATCGTTCGATTAATAATTGAACCTGCAGGTTTTTCACTCACAGTCACACACAACTTATTTTACTGAAATGTGAAGAAAAACAAAGTCTTCAGATCAGAAACAAAGAGAATAAAGTAAAAATATATGAAAGTTTTTGTGACAAACAGGAAGTTAGTTGCTCTTTCAAATGAAGCAACTTTTATTTTTGTTTTTGTTGCTCAACTTTTGGGTTCGACTTCTTTTCAGATCAGAGGCAACGTTTAATTTAACAATTTATTATAAAAATATCAAACTGACGCTAAATAAATATTTATTTCGTTATTATCTTTATTACTTTTCATTTATGTTTAGTTACAACGTTTACAAAATGTTCAACTAAAACATAAATGATTTATTTGACATTAATCTGTAACACTAAAATAGTTTTCGTTATAAGTGAGACGTTTAATTCAATTAATGAGATAAAAACTAAACGATCAACAGCTGAAAATATTAAGTTATTAACATCTGGATTAAAAAATAACATTTAAGCCAAATTAAAAATAATGCCAGTTAAAAACAAAGAAGTTATTTGATTGTTTTTTGTGGAAATAAGATTTTGTCGTGTTTAATCATAAATAAAAATTAAATCAATGTTTTAGTTCTTAGCAGAAGAACAAAAGAAACATTTAAATTAAATGTAGGAATAAAAAAAACTAGGTCTATCACATCAGGGTTCAAAATGAAGAAATCGTGTAACTAATTTAATTATTTATTTATAGTCACGGATAAACTGATGTCATTCATGGCCTTAAATAAACAAACAAACAAATAAAAAGGCAGGACAACAGAAATAAAATAAACAAATTAAAATGGATTCCAAAATGGAAATTTTTCATTCTTTCTGTTGGTTTGTTTACCTGTGTTTTGTTGCATCAAACAGGATAAATAAATAAATAAATAAATAAATAAATAAACTGTTCAGTTTTAATGACAAGTTTAGAAGAAAAAAAAACATTTAAAACTAGTTAAAAAAAATAGAATACAGACTTTCTTGGGTTGTTTCCAACATGTGTGTTCGTTTGTCAGCTTTTTATTTATATTTGTTCTGTTGATCTGGTTGGGGCTGAAGCTGAGCGTCATCAGAATCAGCCTGAAGAAGTCAAAGTGTGTAAAAGTTGAGACGTGACGTAAACAGATCTGCTGACAGAAAGAGGCTAAAGTTTCCTCACAAACTTCAGCTCAGCAGCAGCCGAAAAGAATTTTACGTCCGAGCTCAAGCAGGTTCAGTAAGGTCGTGTTTTCATTTTATTTTATTTTTTTTAAGCCGTTTGTGTCTCTGAGCAACAAACATCAAACAGGAAGTGAGTTGCGGTCTCGCGGTCGGGCCATCTTTACATTTTTGTATCAGCGAGCAGAGAAAGAGCGCAAAACGACACGACGAGTGCTCGACTCATCCCTCAGTTCACTGCAGAACAAAAACAACAAGAAAAATAGTTTAATTCACTAAAAATCACGTCGAGCTAAGAGTTTACTCCTCTGGAGTTGGTGTCTTCCCGCCTGCAGGCCTCAGTTTCACTTCTGCACAGACTCACAACATCAGCTGAAAGAAGGCAGCCGAGCAGCACCACAAAACAAATCCACCTTTCTTAATGTTAGACACAAATTGTCTGATTAAAACTAGTTTTGCATGCCGCTCTTACGCCGGGAGCAGCAGAAATGTGTTTAACTCAATTCAGGTTCACTAAAAAAGCATTAACACGACCATACAGGCCGTTCAGTTATAAGTAATTATCAGTTTTTGAGATTAAATAAACATTAAAGCATCGGTTTAGTATGAAATAAAGCTAACTTTAAATCACACATAGCAAAATATGAATTAAAGCTACCTGGAAATAAATCAGATACTGCAGCCTGAAGGAGTTTCCTGCGATAGATTTCCAGATTTACACAATGCAACCTAAAATGTGGGTCTGCACTCGATGTAAACAAAGCAAAAGGCTGAATTCATCAAAAACACATAGAAGCATGACGACCCCACGTTAGGTTTTTATCCATACCATACCCATTTTTGCTTTATTGTTTATTTTTAACCAGATTTCTACGACTCGTCTTGCCTTTTTATTTATTTTTAACCAGTTTTTCTACAACTCGTCCTGCTTTTTTACCAGGTTTTCGATACCTCGTCCATCTCGTTGACTTTACATGAGCTTTAACAGTTAATAACTAAATAAAACCTACAATATTTGACACATTTGCTGTTTTTAAAAGATGCTCTTTCAGAATACCAAAGATGACACAGGAAGTTTAATCCGAAGCTAGTGTTTATGCTACGCTAAAGCCGTTAGCTTAGCATAGCATCTTCTACATGTAGCGTGTAGAAGAGAAGAATACGTGAAAGGTCATTTAGAGATAATGTTCACCTCTAAGTTTTGATAAGTAACGAACATTTTGGTGTTTTTAACGGATAGCTGCTTCTCCAGTCGCCGTTTTCCCGCTAATCTTAGCTAAGCCGTTACGCTAAGCTAAGCTAATCCCTAACTGGTTTAAACGGAAGCGACTCGACTTATTTTTGGTTGAAGACGTTCTGAAATGTTAGATTTTAGATCGAATAATCGATTAGAGCAATTTAATGTGCCGATGAGTCCAGAAGTAGAAAGGATACGAGAAGCAGCGCTTCAAAATTTCCCATTAATTTAGAAAAGATTTTGACAACGACCAGCAGTAAAGATATTTAAGAGGCTTCAGGGCGTAGCCACGTTCTGGTGAGGACTACTTCCTGAAATCTATCAGCAAAGATGGGAACTCAGAAGAACCTTCATTGTTTATAAGGATCAGGGAATAAAGGAAATAGTTGCTCAGAAACACGCTGACGTCCCCTGCACACAAAAAAAACACAACAGCTACAAACACTCATCACAAATATTAACGTTCTCCTGAGCTGTACTCCTGTTGCTGATCGATTGTCGCTTTTGAACGATGATGACCGGAGATGTTCCTGAAAGTCACATCGGCGTATGAAGAGCAGTGTTGTCTCCGTGTGACCTTTAACCTCTGACTTCTCCAATCTGGAGGTAGATGCGAATCTTCTTCTTCTTTCGGCTGCTCCCTTCTTCAGGGGTCGCCACAGAAATCGAACTCGCACAAAGACTTGGTGACTGTTTTTTCGCCGGATGCCCGGGGAGCAGATGGTGGGAGTTAAGGGCCTTGCTCAAGGGCCCAGAGTGGGGCAAATGAAGGTGGAGGCATGTGTGGATGCTTCACCTTTCCCACCCATATTTTGATGTTGCCGGTCTGGGGAGTCTCTTCGGGAGGTGGCTTTTGGTCTGCAGAGCTTTAAAGGACCAAAAGTGTGAATGTTTTTCTCCACGAGCTGATAAATCAGTCGGCACGAAGCAGGGCTCTGCAGGATGTTCATCTGCGCACGACGCCCGCAGGAGGTGGCGCTTTATCAAACACAGAAACCGATTTGCAGCTTTATTCCTTAAAATTCCAAACTGTCACGACATCAGAGCCGAGTCCTGAGCATTCACAGCCGCCCGAGTCTTTAAGTCGTGCACGGCTCGAGCGTATTTTTAGCTGTGAAGCTGCTCGTGCAAAGCGTCCCTCGCACGCTGCAGACGAGCTGAGGAAATGCCAACCTGAGCGCCGTGCATTAAGATGTGGTTTAAGAAGCTCAGGCAACAATCGAGCTAAAAAAAAAAAAAAAAGACTCAAAGAAAAGGAACAATGTGATGGCGGTACTTCAATCAAGTCCCCGACCCGCTCGTTTCTTCGCTCACGCAGGTCTTTAGGTTTGTTTTCCAGCTTTAAAATGACCCACATTTTTAACCCCCACCCCAGCTCCACCATTTCCTCTCCCTCGGCCTGTGCCAAAAGGTTCCTGAGCACATGGCGGCCCGGTTTCCTGTAGGCCACTGAAAAAAGCCCTGCGCTGACGTACGAGGCCCGAAGACAATACTGAGCTCCTCTAAACAAACACGACTCGGACCCGGCGGTCGGGTCGCACTTAATCTGAGGAGCAGACAGAACAACGGGTCCGCTCGTTTGAGCCGGGGTGCCATCTTAGGCCTCGGCGTTGAGCAGAACACAGGAAGTTGGAGCTAAAACTCAATTAGACTCCACCTTGAGCTCTTCCCCCACCATCGCCCTGCAACCCTCGACTCTAACGACTAAATAAAAGTGTGGTTAAGGTTACTGATGCTGCCTGAGATACTAAACCTCCCGGCTGCTCACTGAACCGTTTTCAGCAGTTTCAAAACCTCCGGCAGCTCCGGTAGTTTCACTCAGACGTATATTTATTGATTTAAACGAGCAGCAAAAACTAACCGTGAGCTTTAATGTGAACATTTTTGGGAAAGATTTTCACTTTGAAACAAACATTTTAACACTTAAATGTATATTTAACTGAACTGTTGACACAGAACAAGAGATTCTCAGCGAAAAGTAACGATTAAAAATAGTGGTCTAATTAGCTGCTCAGTAGCTGCAAATACAAAAACATAAAAGGCATCAATAGATGTTTTTTTTTTACGCACCAGGCAGTTGTTAGATTTTAATGTTTGAGTAAATCTTAAGTGTCAGAAAAGGTTTAATTTCCAATAAACGTTAGAATTTTCCACTAAAGGAGTGATATTCACGGGAAACAATCCTTACAGTGCTATTAATTTCACAATAAACGGTTGTTTAAACAGAGATTTAAACTTTCGGCAGTGGCAGCTAGCTGTAGCACTTCTGGTGCGGCCGGCTGGATAAAATATACTTTTGTTGGAGTTTCCGTGTAAAGCTAATTTAGACATGGGGTGATGATTTATAAATCTCTTTACATATAAAATATTTAAAACCGTAATAAAATATTACATTTCTTGTTTTTATTTAAATATTTTTATAATTTTTCCATCATTCCGGTTCTGGCTGAAATTCTGTTTACGTGTGGAAGGAATAAACGGAGTCCAAATGTAAAAAAAAAAAAAAAAGGGATTTCCTACAGTCTGTGACCCGTCTCATGAAACAAACGCTGTGGTTCTGTCGGACAGGAAGCGCTTTCTGTGGTGAGTGAAGATCAGCCCATCTTCGAGCCGCCCTACACCATCGCTCCGGCCATGCACATGAAGAGCGAGATGACGTCGCCCTGCGGCTTCGGCCAGGCCTCCAAACAGAGTCCAGAACCCGCCGAGTCCGAGTGGGTGGGGTCAGCAGCACAGAACCCCGGGAAGAGGGGCGAGCACGTCAACGGGACCAGGTGAGTCATGGTCAGGGCCACGGAGGGGGGGACAGGTTCCCGGACTGTCTGACTGTCCGTCTGTGTCGACACGCCGGGATTTTCCAGGCGTTGAAATGATTTGTTTACAGTTTGTGATTGTTCCTTTGTTCTTTTCTCCAAATCGTGACGAAGAGATTCAACAGCAACAGGTGATGAGAAGAATAAACGTTTATAAAAACGCTAAATACGTTCACCAAATCACTGCCGCTTCTTTATTCCATCATAACAAAGAGCATCCTTCTATCGCACAATTAAACTACAGTCCTTAATGTGGAATAATTTAATCATAAATTATAAAAGTTAAATAAACAAAAGTTAAAACAAAAGTACTCAAGGTCACGTCAAAACTACTACGGATATTTTTCGAATTAGATGCTTTTGCTGATTTTTTTTTACCTCCCGTCCACATTTAAACAAAAGTTTTGGTAAGAAAGATTGAAATGATTTTTAAAAATCTCTGTCCAGTGGAGATTTTAACAAATCTGTTCACAAATATGGAGTTCCTTTTCATAAATTGTTTTTCTACATTTATCTTGATCTTGTCGTCATGAAATTTTGGTCTGAAACTTCGCTAAAACTTCACCTTTTTCTTTTTTTAAACTCAGCGGACTCAAAAAATTAGTAAATTATAGTTTTTATTAAGAAGAAATAAAAAGGCTGAAGGCATCAAAATGACTAATAAACCCAGGGAGCTCGTGAGGAAACATGAGAACAAACAGAACAATGGAATGAGGGAGAACCAGGAGTAAAGGTGCACTGAGGGGAGTGATTACTGAGTGAGTGCAGCTGGGTTATTTAACCCATGCAGGACAGGTGAGCAGAGGGGAAGGATGCCTGGGGAAAAGGTGATCAGAGACAAAACAAGAAAACGTTATTGGCCTTCAGAGTGATCTAAACCATTTTCACATCGGTTCTTAGGACTGATTCGCCCCAGGTTCCAAGTGAGCCAAATCGATCTGAAGTTCTGACATGAGCAGAGTGAAGGACATCGATTGGCCAGAGAGGCGTCAATCATCAGAGTGTCTCCATCACAACAATAAAATCCACACTTGCAACCTTGCAGCATTCGTTTGTACATTTATACCAAAGGCAACACATAAATGGACTCGGTGGCACCACGAGGCAGTGCAGACGTTTCCAGGCTTGTTGGCTGATGACGGAAATCAGATGGAGATTAAAAAAAAGACTCACTTTACGGGCTCCAACCAGGAAAGGGAAGGTGTTGTGTTTTGTGGCTTTAATTAACCTAATATTGTGTTGCCTTGGGTAAAAAATACAACAATCTTGAGTCCGTGAAGACCCGAGTAGACCTGAAACGAATCATGGTGAGACTGGACGATGGACAACGACTTAAATAACAAACACTCTGAGCTCTGAAGGATATCAAAATCAACATGGAAGTTTAGAACTAAACAAACTCAAAATACGAAACCACCCCTGGATCACAACTAGACTATAACATCGTGTTGCATCAAACCGAGGATCCTAATGAGGATTTCTTGACATCATTAAAAAGAGGAAACCTCACGTCAGATTTGGATATTGGGATTTTCCCAGCCGATGTTAAAAAATAGCTTTGCTAGCGCACCAAGAAAGTAGAGAAATTTTAAAGTTTTTCTGTTCAAAACCATTTTTTGTTGTTGGTATGCTCAAAATATGGCTTTCAAATTTTGTTTAATATTATATTTCAGACAATTTATTAAAACATGGTTATCATTTGAGTAAAAATGCCAACAAAAAATGTCGGAAGAATTTTTAGCTAAGTTAGGATTGTTCTTCTTTTGTATTTTATTGTAGTTAATGTGGATGTTGGCACCACCCTGTGGCATATTGTGGGTATTTCAGCATTTTTGTAAATGTGTTTGTTGATATCTTTTTATATACAAACATTTCAATTCAATTCAAAAATACTTTATTAATCCCAAAGGGAAATTAAATGTTGTAACTCAATATCCTTGTTTCATTAAGAAATGTTATACATGCTGATGGCTGTAGGCAGGAAGGATCTCTTGTAACGGTCTGTCTCACAGCGGATCTGAAGAAACTGGTCACAAATGCTGTCCGATCCGTCCACCCAGACTTGGCTGGCCTCTCGATTCCCACGGGCTACAGGACCGCCCGAATGCCAAGCAGAGCTCCTCCCAGAGCTATGGCCACTCCTCCCAGCAGCCTGCCGAGCTCCTCATTGCTGCGGACAGCCGGCTGCAGGTGTCGGGGGATGTTCCCTGTCCTTTTGCTGTCACGAGTCGTGTTTCTTGCCAATTCCAGTGGTCAGGCACTCGAGCACCGCTGGCAGGGAGACGGGAATGCATCCACTGTGCCTCCTTTTCAACTCATTTGAGATTTGGGGCTATAGTTGAGATGTTATTTGAGCTTTTCAGATGTTAATCAGCTGCTCCCGGTTGTAAAAAAACAAACACCCTGTTGTCATGTTTATACATCATAACAAATGTCCAAAAGTAAAAAAAGTTTCAGTAAAAATCCTTCCAGCTGCACAGCATCTGATACCAGAGGAAACAATCATCCAAAAAAAAGTGATTTACATCCAGAAAAAGAGGAATTAAAGTTTCCAAAAGCAAAATCCCAGAATAAATGTAATAGAGCTACTCCAACATGCAGCCACCCCGAGCGGTGCAATTCTAGAAAAAGAACAACACCGTGGCACCTGGGCCCTCATAACACCTGTGGAGTGCCATAGACTGATCTGATAGTGGCCTTAGTGGTGAGTTTGCTGGCCAGTTAAGAACAGGGATACCATGGTCCTTCAACCAGGTACTGGTAGCTTTGGCACTGTGTGCAGGTGACAAAGGATGATCATAACTGAGGTGGCTATAGCTCGTAATCCAGTGACAAACTATGAACACGTTTCTGCACAAACTCGATGTTTACATCAGCAAGTGTCATTTTGCTGTGACTGGTGGTAACAAACTGCAAACGTCTTTTGTGAAAAACGTCTCCTATCCTTTGTGAACATTCTGCTTCAACAAGTGAGGTGCAAGTATTTGGAGTGTTAATGAAAATTCAGTAGAGCAATCTCTCAAAGTAGATCCTTCACAGGTTCTTGGTACCCATCTCAAACCTTTCTGAATTTAGTTTAGAAAAGTCAGAAAGTGTGAAAAATATGAGACAACTTTGGAGGGTTTGAGACTAAAATCTCCACAAATGTTGCAGTTTACTCGCCGATGTTTGCAAACTTGTCCCAGTATCAATGAAATGAGATGTCAAGTAAAAAGTCACGTGTTTTCTTACAATTTTGTGTTTCCAACCCATCATCAACAGTAACGTACAGTCAGCGAGGAGTGGTTGTGTTTTAGCTTCAAGCTGCCTGGAGCTCAGATTTATTCAGATGTTTGTAAAAAAAACAAACAAAAAGAAAAACCAGATGCAGGATATTCCTGTTTACAACACTTTGCATGTGTCTGCAGAAAGCAGTTTTCATGGCATTCGTTTTGTAATACTTGCGGTTTAACCTGCAGTGCTCACACGTTTTACTCTTTAAATACCGTTTTTGTGGAACATTTTGTTGACATGCAGACTAATTTTAGGTCCTGTCATGCACCAACAGATAAAAAGCTGCGAGAGGAAACTAACTTACTCTGCAAAATCTGCCAGAGATTAATCACCCCCGCCCCCCTTAAGCGGCAGGAAGTTTACTGAAGCAGAATGAATTAAAGACAAACTGCCTCTGAGTGAATTCATACTTTATGTGAGGTTTCCTGCGTGTGTTTCAGCCGTGCGTCTCCGGTGGACTGCAGCGTCACCAAACGTTCCCGACACATGAGCAGCGACGGGACCCCGATGCCATACCAGGCCTCGTACCCGGAGCCCCGCGTCAGCCCCCAGACACCACCGAGCAACACCACGGAGGAGAAGAGGGTCATCGTCCCAGCAGGTGAGCTGCCGTCCTCCAGCGTGTCCCAACAGCTGAGACACAACTGGGCCAGTTTAACACCAAGAACCAGGTCCAAATCTTCACCAGCGACGAGGGCAGCGCTCTGCTTCACCGTTTCTGATGAACACCGTTCAAAAAGTGTGACTTGAAACCCGAAGGACAAATGTAGCTCAGAGGCCTGTGACGTTAGCGTGAACAGAAACACGTCTGCGTTACGAGCAGGCGTGGACACTCATTTTTAGTCTCCCTGCTTCCCTTTTTAGCCCCGCAGTAGAAAGTATCCAACATCAATTATCTATTATATTAATATTAATTATTGTTAATATTACCTGGATTATTGAGCATGAACTTTGGTGTCCAACAGCAACTTATGGCAACAACCCTCAGGTTGTGAACACTGATAGAAACTGAAAGATAAACCTTTCTTTATACTCTTTTTGTTATTGCTGTTGCTGCCAAACATCGTTTAAAGTCTGAGCTGATAATTGTTTCTCAAAAAGTCCAAGATTGGTTTAAAGTGACACTAACCAGTGATCACACTGTCACCCAACCTGCAGTGTACCAGGCCCTCATGGTGCCTCTAAAGAATGATGGGTTCCATTGGGGTCTGGCCACATGGCACTCACCAACGAGCCTCTCCCAAAGGCGAGACTTTGGTTCCCCAGTCCAGGTGAGGTGTTGGGGACTCTTGGTCTCGTTGTCATCGATAGGACTGTTAAATCATGCATGGTCTGGCTCCTCACCCAGAACCTGGTTCTGAGAGATCCTCCATCTCCATATTCTACCCCGTATACATGGTTATGTCACGGAGGCCACATGTAGGACCTCTCTCTCCCCAGAACCACTCTTCAGCTCCTCCTGGGGGGATCCAACGGCATTCCCAGATTAGGGAATATGTATAATCCCCCCAGTGAGTTCTGGGTCTGCCCTGGGGCCTCTGACCAGTGGTATATGCTTGGAAAACCCCAAAGGAAGACATTCTAATCAGATGAACCACCTCAGCTGACTCCTTTCGATGCAGAGGAGCCTGGCCACCCCACAAAGGAAGCTCATTTTGGCGGCTTGGATCCAGGATCTGGTTCCTTCAGTCATGAGCCAATCCTCAAGACCACAGGTGAGGGATGGAACGTAGACAGACCAGTAAATCCAGAGCTTTACCTTGTGACCAAGAGAAGGTGGTAATTCATGGAGGTGTCTAATAGCAGAGATTAGATTAAATTATTATACCAGACATTTTTATTCTAACATGTTCTCAAAATGGAACAAATCTGTAACTGAAACAGACTTAAAGTTAAATTTGTCCCAGAAATACTCACTGGACGTTCAGTTGTCATCACAAAGATGAAAACTTAAAATGATTGAGTTCAAGGTTCTTTATCGTCATTTGCATCACATGTGGTACATGAGGTGGAACCAGATTGTGTACTCAGGGTCCCAGTTACACCTCAAAATAGCACAAACATAAAGTATAAAAAGAAACAGGATGTAAGGATCTAAGATGTACGCTAAATGATACGATCATTTTATTTGTTGATGCACAACGACATAAATTTTTAATTTTAAGCAATCCATCACTTTGTAGGTAAAATTTTAGACAAACTTAGTTTAGGTAACTCCAGTCGGCCTCACAGCTTCACACGGAGCCCTCCAGGTTTTTGTGAATCAGTTTTTCCTCCATTTGGTGTCAAGGACGAGTCCAAACTGATGTAAAATCCAACCCGCTCCATCAGTGAGTCACCAGCCGGGTCGTTCTGCTCGATAATACCAGGACGCTGCGCCGGAGCGGCTCGTGTGAACCGAGAACAATCAGGAGCTCGGGGTGTGGTCGTCGACGCCTGATTTATTTTACGGCCTTTTCACACAAACACGCTCATTGTTTGGTTCTGGAAACCAGCGTCCTGAATCAGACTTTAAATATTCCAGTGGCTCAGGTCCAAGTTAGGTATGTTACTAAACACTTACTGTAAAGAGTTTTACTAAAAAATACTGGCAGTTGTATTTTTTATTTACCAGGAAATGGGTGAGTTTTATATTAACGCATCAACACGTCGCAGGGATTTACAAAATTATTTTAAAAATAAATCTCATCCAGTCCGTCTGTCACGAGGGCTACAGTAGGAACATTTTTATTTTAAAAATGCAGCCTCAAACTGCTTCAAAGAAGAGAAGAGGTGAGAGTCAACAAGCGATATGCTGATGGATCTGAACAGTGAGTGTTTGTAGTTTTGGAGATTAGTGTTTTTCTGGACTGGGATTAAACCGAGAATGAAATAAACCTAAATGTTTTTGATGTGAGATATTCAGGTGGGAAGGAGTTACTCTGTGGAGAAGAGCAGAGTTTTTTTTTGTTTTGTCTGAGGCAGAGCGGAGTGACGGATCCTGGAGAGGAGGGAGCACCAGGTGCAACAGCGGAGCCAAGTGGGGGCCCTTGGTGGCCCTGGCCCCCATAGATTAATTTTAGGCCACCCCAAACTTTTGAGGAAACTACACTTTTAAACAAAATAAAACTAGAAAGCATCTTCTTCTTCTTCTTCTTTCGGCTTTTACCTCTTCAAGGGTCTCCACAGCGAGTCATACTCCATCTCACTTTGTCCTCTGTGTCCTCTGTCCTCATTCCAACTACCTCCATGTCCTCTCTAACTGCGTCCATATGTCTCCTCTTTGTCTTTTTCCTGGCAGTTGCATTTCTAACATCCTTCTACCAATATGTCCCTCCTCTAGACAAGTCCAAACCACTGACCATCCTCTGGACATGTCCAAACCACTGTCCCTCTTCTGGACATGTCCAAACCACTGTCCCTCCTCTGGACATGTCCAAACCGTCTCAGTCTGGTCTCTCTAACTTTATCTCCCACCTGCGCTGTACCTCTGATGATCTAATTAATCTTCTCCATCCTTGTCACTCCTAAGAAGAACCTCAACATCTTCATTTCTGCCACTTCCAGTTCTGTCTCCTGTCTTTTTGTCCATGTCTCTGTCTCCAGACCATACAACATAGCTGGTCTCACCACTTTCTTGTAAACTTTTCCTTTGACATTTGCTGACACCCTTTTGTCACAAATCACTCCTGAAACTTTTTTCCATCCACTCCATCCTGCCTGGACTCTCTTCTTCACCTCTTTACCACACTCCCCCATTTTCCTGGACAGTGGACCCCAAGTCCTTGAAGTCCTGCACCTTTGTGACCTCTGCTCCTCGTAGCCTCACTGTTCCACCTCCTCCCTCTCATTCACACACATGTACTCCGTCTTACTGCAGCCGACTTTCATTCCTCTTCTTTCAAGTGCATACCTCCACCTCTCCAAGTTCTCTTCCACCTGTTCCCTGTTCTCACCACAGATAATGTCATCTGCAAACATCATAGTCCACGGAGATTCCTAGAAAAACTAGATAAGCATAGTTTCCTGAAATAATAGGGGTGGCTGGTTTACATTTAAACATATATGGTGGTGGCCATCTTGGATTTTAATCCAAAGACCAAAACTTTAGTTTTATATATCATAAGAAATTAATTAAACTAATTTACCTTTAGAAATATCTCATCAGTTCTTCTGTTCAGATCAGCTCAAATAAACCTTCTAATCTCGCACGTTTCAATCAGAAAGGACTAAACTTTGCACAAATTATTTGCACGGGAAGTTAATCCTGTTGACGATCAGCTCGACCACTTTTAATCATTAATATTCTTTTTTTTTTACACGTTCTACAACTTCCCGTTTCTTTAAAAGCAATGAAAACCAAAACCACATCAGTGGTTTTGTCTAAACAGAAGCCACAAAGTAAATTAAATTAAAAATGTTTGGAGATCTGAAGTCTTGGTCTTTTTTCAGTCGTTACTTCAAGTTTCTTCAAAACCAATAAAAAACAGACAAACGTCAGAGTTTTTGTGCAAATTGTTGCAATAGTAAAGAAAAATTTAAAAAGTTTGTGCTGTAAGTTTTAACAGAGCTCGGTTTGTTTGATTGCAGATCCGGAGGTTTGGACCCAGGACCACGTGCGGCAGTGGTTGGACTGGGCCATCAAGGAGTACGTCCTGGAGGAGGTGGACGTCTCACTCTTCCAGGCGCTGGACGGCAAGGCCCTCTGCAAGATGTCCAAAGAGGACATGATGCAGCTGACGTCGGCCTACAACGCCGACATCCTGCTGTCCCACCTGAATTACCTCCGGCAGAGTAAGGCTTCGGCTCGTTTTGGCTTTTATTGTTGTGACAAAAAGCTGCCACTGCTTTAGTTTCTTTTTAGTCACTGCACACGTTGGTTTCACATATTGTTTCATATCGATGGAAAACCATCAAATTTTCAAAGATTTTATACCAGTAGTTTTGAAAATATTTTCAGTAAGATCATTTTTTCACGTATGAAGCTGAAGGTTTGTGTCAGGAACCAAACTTGCAGCCTTCAGCGTGTGTTGTGACCGCTATCCTTTTTGTTAGCACGTTTTAAAATCCTCTCATCACCATGATGAGCACCAGAAGCAGCAAATCACTGCAGTCATCAAGTCCAAGCTAATCTTTTTAAAAGTTGATGGATCCAGATCCCCGAGGAGGAACACTGATCCAAGGTTGAAACCGCCCACACGTCCCTCACGTTCACTCAGGAGAACCTAACCATTGTTCCTCTCTTTTGCTTCAGGTAGCCCCACATTCTCCTACTCCACGACTCCCACCAACAGCACGCCGCCCCCACCCCCACAACCCCGGCTACAGGTGAAAGCAGGTGAGACTCAGACTTTTAGTATCAACAAATAATTACCTACCTTAAAAAAAAAGACTTTTTGGCTTTTGAGGAGAAAATCGTACAAAAATCCAAAAACTATTTAAGATACTTAAATAATGATATTGGATTTTTATTGTTTCCGAGAGAAAAGTTAAGCTATCAAACAGTTTTAGTTTATTTAAACAAAAAGTTCCAACTGATTTTTCTTAAAAATTCATTAAAATGTGTAGTATGGTGGCAGCCATGATGGAATAACTTAATAAAGTTCCTACAGAATGATAGAAAAGATTTAAAACAGAAACAAGTCGGTGACTTAGAATCTGCTGAGTCACTGGTTGCCATGGTAATTCCCGCCTTTTTAAGGAGCAAAGGAGGAGGGGCACCACACATCTGCAGAAATTTATCCTCAAACAGCCTCTGTGGAGAAATTAACTAAAGTTAAGTAAAAATAAAAACATCTTGAATCCTGAGCGACGGAAAATTCTTGTGAACAGAAATGTTAAGTTTTATTTATTCAAAGCAGATTATGTGGACAATATGACCGATTAGAGACACCATCCAGTTCAGGATTTTAGGAGAAAAATTAGTTAACTGAGCAAAAGAAAACAAAAGTACTTGTGTTTTGATGTGTGAACCTTATAAGATTTGCAACATTTACAAGCAATAAAAAAAAAAAAGTTTGTTTGCTAACATTTTGGAAAGTTTCAAGACCTCCAAGTTTGTTAAACATTATTAGACTAAATTTAAAAAAATTCTAAAAATTCTCCATCTTAACCTGTGATTGTCTTTAAGCTATTGGAAGAAATAAATAAAAACTGACAAAAATGAAAATGACACCAACAGGATATTACCGGGTTTCACCGATAATAATATTATAAAAAGATGCCTAAAACTCCTGCAGCTAAACATTAATAACGTTAAATATCCAATATTAGTGTTGCGTGTTTCTTTTTAAACATTTATTTTCTGGAGTGATTACATCCAGCACCTTTAGTGAATTTCAGACCATCCTTTAAAGTTGAATTCTTCGGTTCTGCAGGACTTTTGTTTACTGGCTGCAGATGAATTTTAAAAACACAAACACACCATCATCTGTAGAGCCGATCTGTAAAAGAAAAAAAATCACCTGCCAGTGGTGGCATGTTTCACACGTTTGTGAGCAGAATGAGTAACATCCTGTTAACACACGGTTCATTTTAAATGCATTTCGAAGCCCAGAACTATGAAGTAATCAGTAAACTTTAACTTTACTCTGGTAAAAATAACTCTACTTGAGTTAAAACACTAAAATACAACACAAGTTTTACTTATACTCTATTAATGCATCAATCAGGGCACGCTTTATCTGCAGTCTCGTGTGAATTTAAATTTTGGGTCCCTCAGAGTCATGAGAAACTCCTTGAATGATTAAAGTCCATAAGAATAACGTTTCAGAACCGTGTAAACATGGTTTGTAACGGCTAAAAGGCTCCGTGGCACAACGTAAACTTCTGTGACGAGTCCAAAACTCAACAGCTAGTTTCAGACAGGAAACAGCTGCAGCGACAGAGGAAACTGGGGGTACGGGTCCTGCTCCTGGGACACGGTACTGCGTTGGTCCGAACAAAAGACAGCTCAACCAAGACCCTTCGGGTCATCTTCAGACCCCTGAACCACTCATGCTGGTGTCCGGTTCTTTCCTTCCTCCTGGATTGGAGCCGTGTTGCTTTGAATTCTTCTTTCTGATCAGCCTCATCATTTTTGTTTTTGTGTCTTTGTGCAGAAAGCGGTTTTGATGAGATCAGCCGCAGGAACAGCTGGCCGGCAAACACCATGACTGCCGCAGTGCCTAAAGGTACGACGGCAAAAACCAGCCATGACACGAAACTGATAGTTGTGATGGATTCATCCGAGCGTGAAGAGCTTTTGAATAAAGTTTAGTGATAAGATTTATTTATTTCCAGGTTCTTCAATCGAGCACCAACATAGCACCAGGGTGACGGAGCCGGCAAGAATCGTCCAAGGTACGAATATCCAGTTAGTGTGGCACCATCTTGTTTCAGGTAACCCTGGTAGATTTTTTCAGTTCATCCAGGCGTCTCTTTGTTTCCAAGGAATACAACTTTATAAAGGTGCAAACAATCCTGTGGCACAAACATGGAAATATATACAGTAAATATATATTTTTAAAAAGTCTTACTGAAAGTTGAGAAATTATTAAATTGTGAATAATTTGGCTTCAGGCTGATGTCGGTTATTTAATGAGTTGAATCAAAGACAACTTGACTTAGTTTTTATTCTTGAAGACATTTTGTTTCTCTTCCAAGGCTCTTTCTTCAGTTGAACTGAAAAGTCTTCGCTTTATTCTGAAGTAACTTCAGGAAGAGTCAAACACGGCTCATCTAGGTCCTGATCTGGTCCTTGTTTCTTTAGGTTTTGCTTTCAAGCAGCCATACTTTTCTGTAAACCTTTAAAGGCGTCCTGTCAACAGTTCTGACCGTCTGAAGATCTTCCAAATGGTTTCTTTGAACATCGGCTGCTTTTTCACCGTCTCAGTCCAGTTCTGTCAGCTCATGAAGTCTCCTTAAAAATCTGAGAAAACTGGACATGTGCAGGACAAATGAAGACATGTAAGACCTAAAAACAAAAAAGAAGTCTAACCAAGACCTGAGAGACAAACTATCCTTCGTGTGATGAAAAGTCCAAAGAACAAAGACGCTTAAAAGAGCCTCAGAAAGTCTGCAGAACTGACCAAGATCCCTTTAACAATTACAGAGAATTCTGGATCGTTGAAAGGAATGAAGAATGATTGAAGACTTCGCCGTTCATTCCTTTAGACCCTCCTTGAACCGGATGATGATCCTGCTACGTTCTCCTCCACCTGCTAGAACAAACCTGATCTCCACCACTGTGGTCATGACACTGCCGCTTTTAATAATCGCTAAACAGTTTTTTTTGGCACCCAAAGACTCTGAAGACTCTGCCCTGAACCCCGACCACAGTACATGCCCTCCCTGGCACAACTCTCAGATTTCGCCGGGATCGATAATGAATGTCACGCTTGAGCTACTCGTTTCCAGGATTGTGTCCTGAACATAGCCTATACCACTGGTGCCCAATCCTGGTCCTCCATCCTGCATGCTTCCCTGCTCCAACCCACCTGATTTCATAGTTAAATGACCACTTTATGTTCTTCAGAAGCCTGTTCATCACCTATTGATTCAGATTAGCTGTGTTGGAACAGAGAAACATCTTAAAGCATACAGGGTGGTGTCCCTTGAAAACCAGGATTGGATACCCTTGGCCTATAAGTATTAGACCAGTCCTATTCCCAATTCTTGATCGAGCCACAGCGCTGTGTGTAGGTCCCACATCACAAACACACAGCCACCGTGCTTCACCCACAACTTTGGTACGCTGCCCTTATCATCATAAACCAGCAGAACTTTGCTACAGAAGATTCAAGCGTGATCAAAAGGATCGTAGACCTAAAATGCAGAACGGAGAGTCCACTAAACCTGTCTGAGACCCTGCACAGACCATCCATCCACCTTCTGGAGGATGTTTTATAATGTCGGAGCAGGGTCATCATCCAGCCCATCAAAAGTGACGGTTTGGGCAAAACGTGCAACTTTCCCGTTGATTGAACTCAACTCCAACACAAACCAGACATTTTAGCATTTTAGTGTTGGAATTTCTACAAGCAAGCAAATGGATCTGGTATGAAAATAATTTATGAAGGTTTACAAAAACACAAAAATCTTTGTTTTGTTTTTATAATCTTCTCTACAGACCCCTATCAGACATTAGGGCCCATCAGCAGCCGACTGGCCAACCCAGGTAAGAATCTAAAACCACCAAGGACAAAGATGAAACAAATGAGGCCTTTACACTGTCTGCTTTGGCACGACTAAAAACTGACGGGGGTACATTGTTGAAAACAGAAGAAAAAAAAAAGATTAATTTTTAAAACCAAAACTAAAGGTCCGGTCGAAAAGTGAACATCAGAAATTACCAGTTCAAAACTAATTGTCATTTATTGGCAGAGATCAGCAGCTGTTTTAAAATGACGTGACTCGGCTTTTAACTGGAACAAAAAACCACCAGCACCGACGCCAGCTTCCTGTCCGTTACAGAACAGAGTTTATGATAACCTTGGTTTCTAAGGCTTTTATCTCCAGGATCTTTTTACATAATCATACTTCATTTAACACTGAGGTAAAATCCCAAAACCAACTTTCTCAGATATTTATTAGCCTAAGACCTGATACAGGTAACACACCAATTAATAAGACAGTTTACAGGAGACATAGTACATTGTCATATTTCTAGCGATAGTTCATTTGTTGTACATATTTCACCAATTAATTTATTTCCAAGCTCTCTTCTTGTGATGCTTGGCTTCTTTCCTTTCATCTTCCTTTCTGTGAAATCTATCCGTTTGCAAATGTCGTAAATGCAACTCTGCCGCTTTGGCCTTTCATTTACTGTATTCTTCCATTTGTGGAGTGCATCACCTCATTTCTGAATATCCTTGATCTTTGTATCCAAGAAAAGGGAGACCAAGCTTTCTAGAACAGCCACAAGTTTTCCATATAGAAGCATCTTAACTGATCGGTCAACGGACAAGTGTACAACAAGTCCAACCCAACTTAAGCTATTTCCAATAGGTGTGATCTCAATGTCCTCAGACTTTGCACAGTCTAGAACTTCCTCATACACAACCCCCTCCAAAAGTACTGGAACAGCAAGACAAATTCCTTTGTTTTTGTAGTTCAATGAAGACATTTGAGTTTAAGCTCAAAAGATGAGTACGAAACAAGAGTTCAGAATTTTAGCTTTTATTTCCTGGTCTTTATATTAAGATGTGTTAACATATCACCGTTTGTTTGAACCCACCCTTTTTTCAAGAGATCAAAACTACTGGAACACGTGACTGACAGGTGTTTCTTGTTGACCAGGTGCCTTTTAGGTTGATTGTTCTGATTAAATAGCTCTGCATAGCCAGTGTAAGTTTTAAGTCTGGGTTTAAACCTCTAAAGACCACTTTCTTGTAAAAGAGGATAAACCAGCATGAAGACCAGAGAGCTGTCTATTGGGGAAAAGCAATGCATTTTGATGCTGAGGAAAAAGATAAATCGATCAGAGGCATCTAACAAACATTGGATGTAGCAAGCACAACAACTTGGAATGTCTTGAAAAAGAAAGAAACTACCGGTGCTGAACAGCAGACTTCCAACAGGTCGGCAAAGGAAAACAACAGTAGTTGGCGACAGAAATATTCTAAGAGCTGTGAAGAAAACCCTAAAAACATCAGTAACCCATCACCAATAACCTCCACAGTGCAGGGGTGACATTATCAGAGTCCACTGTTCAAAGAAGACTCCAAGAGCAGAAATATAGAAGCCATACCACAAGATACAAACCACTCATCAGCCGTTAGAATCAGAAAGCCAGTTTGGAATTTGCAAAGACGTACAGACGTGGGCCGCAAAAGTTCTGGAACACAATCTTATGGACTAATAAAACCAAGATCAATCTCTACCAAAGTGAAGGAAAGGCCAAAGAGTGGAGAAAGAAAGGAACCGTTTATGATCCGATGCACACAACTTATCCGTGAAGCACGGTGGAGGTAATACCATGGTTTGGTGTGCATGGTTGCTTCCGGAACAGGCTCTTTAATAACCATTGATGGTGTAACCAATGACTGTAGGAGCAAAATTAATTCCAAAGTGTACAAAAACATTTTGTCTGCCGGTTTAAGGAGAAATGCATCCAAACTAATTGGAAGGAGGTTTATCATGCAGCAGGACAATGACCCTGGCAACAAAACAAAGAACTTCATCAAGGAAACAAAGTGGAAGGTTTAAGACTAGCCAAGTCCGTCACCAGACCTGCACCCAATAGAGCATGCATTTCACCTCCTGAAGAGGAGACTGAAGGAAGAAACCCGCCTAGAACAAACAAGAACTAAAAGAGGCTGTGGTAAAAGTCTGGAATAGCATCACAAATGAAGAACGCAACAGTTTTATGATGTCAATGGGTCACAAGCGTAAGGCATTGATTGCAAGCAAGGGTTACGCCACCAAATATTAAATTTTATTTACTTTAAGATGATTTGTTCCTTTACTTTTGCTCACCTAAACATGCTGTGGTCCAATACAAATGGTGATATGTCCCGAGTTGTTTATATCTAAATATCAATATCAGGAAATAAAAGCTAAAATTCTTAACTCTTGTCTCATACTCACGTTTTTATCTTAAACCCAAATGTCTTCAGAGAACAAATAGTAAATGGACTGTACTTATGTAGTTCTTTTCTATCTAATCAAGATACTCAAAGCTCTTTACAACACAATCTGTGCCCTCATTTACCTCCACACACACTCAAACAGCACTCTACTAGATCTCTACAAAGATAATCTGAATCTGTAGAGACTAATCGGTGCTTTAGATCACATTCATACACCGATGGGACACACATCGGGGGCAATGAGGGGTTCAGTGTCTTGCCCAGGGACACTTCGGCATGTGGCTGCTGGTAGAATCGAACTCCCAACTCTCCCATTGAGGGACGATTGCTTTAACCACTCAGCCACCACTGCCCCAACCAAAACAAAGGAATTTTTCTTGCTGTTCCAATACTTTTAGAGGGGACTGTGGTCATCCCATTTGATCTTGACAATGGATTTAATATGACATAGTTGGGTGGTTCTTTGATTTTTGATATGGTGGTGGGAAAGGGTCCAAGTCCTGCTTCAATGTAACATCACTGGTATAACACATTGATTGTACACCTAAAGTTTAGTTTCTGTTGTCAAACTCTTATAACTGAGCCTACCGACAGCGCAAGAGGCAGATTGGATGTGTATAGTAATATTTTTATCTAACGTCACTGTTGACAAAGCTTCCAAGATATCTGAAGAGGTCCACTTTGGTCACATTTTGCCCGCTGATGTAAAAATCAAGTTGTTCTCCTACACTCATCGTTTCCGTTTTCTTGGTGCTGATCTGAAGACCCATAATGTGTGACAGACTTTCATATGCAGACTGAACTTGAAGTGGCGTTGTTGCAGAAGATTGCGATGTCGTCAGCATATTGTGCTTTCCTAATATAGCTGGTGAGCCCTTTAGTTTTAGATTTCAAGTGGCAAAGATCAAATCACCATCATATCTGAAATGGACCTTAACGCTGTGCCGCAGAGGACTGATGTTGTCAAATGCAAGGATAAGAAGTATAACAGCATATATTCCAAAGAGGATAGGAGCAAGCTTGCAGACTTGCTTTATGTCTATTTGATGGTCTTGGTCAAATGTCCATCAGTGATCAATCTTGCGTCTGTGTGGTTTCTTGAGAATGGACTAAATTTAAGAGCACAGCCCAATTTTTACAAGAATTGTAGAAGGAGCTCACGATTTACAGTCAAAAGTTTTAGTGAAGTCAATAAAGGCAACATGTAACCTTTGTTGAAGCTTCCTGCACTTCTCCATAATCTGACGCAAAGAGAAGACGCCATCGATGGTGCTTCCGTTTCTTCCGTATCCTGATTGAGTCGGGATAAACCTGATCCTGAAGCCTCTGAAGTAAGACGTCAGCAAAGACATTTCCTACAACACTGAGCAGAGATATTCCATGATAGTTACTAGTGACTGCAGTCACCTTTCTTGTAAAGAATGCAAATGTTGGCATCAACCCATTTGGGGGGAAAATCTTCTGTTGATCATAAATGATTAAATATATTCAACAGGGAGGATTTCAGAGTATTTCCACCATGCACAAGAATCTCTGGTGTAATACCATCTGATCCTGGAGTCTTTCATCGTTTTCTCGATCTTCCATGGTGATTGGATCATCAGGTTCCTCAATAGTAGGATGTTGCTCAATATCATCAATGGCCCAGTCGACACTTGTTGGTTAAGAAATCACTGAAGTGCTCAAAAGGATTAGACACAAAATGAGCCAATAAATGACCAACTTCTTCCTTTTGATGTCCACCTTAAAAACATGGCAAGATGAGCATCCCTGCTAGAAACGGTCCCCCAGATCATCTTACGACAAACACTAAAAATAAAAAATGGTTGTCTACGTCACAGACAAAACGATGTTTGTTTAAAATGAGTAGAGCTCTCCAGAGCAGAACATCATTCAGTTTAAACGGCTCAGAAAGTTGGACTTTACAAGACTGAACTGCTGTTTTCACGACTTTTAACACTTTTTACACAAACGCAGCTGAACATGGAGGATTTTACTGTTTTTAACACAGAATGTTCAGATTAGAGTCCGACTAACTTTTAGCTGCTTAAACTTTCAAAAACTTTTACACAAACCTTTTACCTCCTGTAAATGTTAAAATTTATCTAGTTTATACCTGAAATCGTTGGTATTTGTGTCTTCTTTCACCCAGTATGTCTCTTGTTGGTAGGTAGGTTGTCCCAGAGGTCAGAGGTCACACACCCAAAATCTCAATGACTTCCATTTTATGAGCTCATCTCCGTCTGATTTTCTCAACTGGAAGTGATGGCTCTTTTTAAACTGCCGTATCTTCCACACTGTATAAAATTTTAAATTAAAATGTCTAACCACCAGAAGTTTTTGATGCTCACAATGAAATGTTTTGATCTAACTTAAGATTTTTAACAATCTTTAAAGTTTGAAACTTAGGTTTTAGTTCATGTTTCTGTCTGCTTGATGAAGAGGGCGCTGTAAGCCCCGCCTCCTTATGTTCTCTTTCCATGGCAACCTGTGACTCAGCAGATTCAGTTCTTTTCCATCGTGGCTGACCCAATAAATCTTGTAAAATCAGATTGTTTTTCCTCTAATAGGATTTTTTTTAATTAAAAATAATAAACACCCCTGAAAATTTTAGCATCCATCATCTTTACCCGCTTCTTCTTTTTTGGGTTGCTGGGGTCAATGGTGCCCATATCCAGCAATCACTGTGCGAGAGGCAGGGGACACTCTGGACAGGTCTCCAGTCCATCACAGGGACAGATAGAGACAAACGAGACAAACAACCATCCACTCTCTCTCACACCTAGGAACAATTTAGAGTTACCAATCATGTTTTTGGCCTGTGGGAGGAAACCGGAGCACCCGGAGAAAACCCACGCATGCACGGAGAGAACATGCAAGCTCCACCCAGAAAGGCCTCTGGACCGGGGTTTGAACCGCGGCAACCTGCTCGTAGAGAGGCAGCAGCTTTACCAACTGCGCCACCGTGCTGCCAAAATTTTAACATTTTAAGTCCAAAACAACTCTGTCAGGAAGAGCTTTATCTAAGAAATACAAAATTAAGCAAGTAGATCTTCTACAACGGGAAGCTTGCTTAGAGGATTAGGAAAATTCAGCCCAAATATTGTAACCCTTCAATATTTTTCAGAAACTGACTCAAATATTATGGGAATCAACCTCAAAACACAACCGGACCAAATTAATTTACAAAAATCCTAAACATTAGAACTAAACACGCGTCAATGTGAAAAAAGGGGCTTTTTATTAAGGAGGTCCAGTTTTTCCACGTTTTTAAAAAGCATCAAAGTTCCTTTTGCGACCAGCCATGATCAGCTGCTCAAAGACTTTCGGGTCACTTAGGAACCTTTCTAAACAAAAAGCCTTTTGGAGCGGACCTGAACCAATGACTGTCTGCCCTGCTGTTTCCTCACAGAAGGCCTCGGCTCCAAGAACCGAACGGGCAAACAAAGTCCATACAAGCCGCCTGACCCCAGCGCTCACAGGCCTGTGGGTAGGTTTCTGCCCCCAAGACACGCAGTGAAAAGGTCACATTTGGTAGATCCGTGTCCTGTTGCAGCTCTTGACTAACATTTTAACTGCTAATCTCAACTTTCACTCTGAAAACTGGGAAAGACTTTTAGACCAGTTTAATGGTTGGGGCAGGCTTGTAGCTCCTCGTCTAACGCTTCACGTCTCTTCACAGGTTCGGGGCAGATCCAGCTGTGGCAGTTCCTGCTGGAGCTCCTATCTGACAGCAACAACGCCGGCATCATCACCTGGGAGGGCACCAACGGCGAGTTCAAGATGACCGACCCGGACGAGGTGGCCAAGCGCTGGGGCGAGCGCAAGAGCAAGCCCAACATGAACTACGACAAGCTGAGCCGAGCCCTGCGCTACTACTACGACAAGAACATCATGACCAAGGTGCACGGCAAGCGCTACGCCTACAAGTTCGACTTCCAGGGCATCTCGCAGGCGCACCAGAACCACGGGGCGGACAGTAGCATTGTAAAGTACCAGACTGAGATGCCGTACGTGCAGCCGTACCACAGCCACCAGCCCAAAATGAACTACATGGGCGGCCACCCTCCTCCTGTGCCAATCTCCCCCGGGAACTTTTTTGGGGCTCCGGCGACGTACTGGAGTTCCCCCAGCAGTCCCATCTACCCCGGACCGCCAATGACCCGACACCCAGCTGCTCACTCCCATCTGAGCTCATACTACTGAGGCGGTGGCCCCCGAACGGGACTAACAGGAGAGGACCCCAAGTGTGCTGGATCCTGGTGGCACCTGAGCCGAACCCGTCTGAACAGGAGGTGATGTGACGCTACAGTCCAAATTCTCTGAAGGCATTATCTCGTATTCTTTCAAACAGAACGTGAGGGTTGGACTGCAGAGGGTCTCTGAACGTTCAGACAACTCCCTTCATCCATTCAGTTCTGATCTTCACTTTGTAAAGAACTTTTTGTATTTTTTATGGCGCCGGTTATAAAACGGTTCCGACTGTTCTCACCTCGCAGGTCCAAACTGCAGTTAACACGTTCCAAGACCCAACGTTTTGTAAAACAAATTGTACAGAATTGTTGTTTTCATGTAACAATAAACATTTACACATTATATAAAGCTAAAAAAAAAAAAAAAAAAGCTTCCGTTTTTCTTCAGCCTTCACATTTTTAAAGTTATCACGTCTTAAAACTTTTCGGGAAAATTATTTTTGCTTTCTTGCCAAGATAAACACTAAACAATTTAATTTTTTTACTTTTTTTTTTAATGTCTTGTAAAAATCATTTACCGTAATCACCAGTATTCGTTGTAAAACGTGCCCATTAAAGCACCTTTACTTGCATCTGCCTGTTTTGGTGCCGCAGTCACAACTTTTGATTCATTTCCCGTCCCGCAGTTTTCAAAAGTCCAAACAGCAAAACGTGCAGCTCGATCAGGAACTGTTTGGTAGCGGTACATCGTACGAAGTAGACCAAATTTATCCAAATAAACAAAAATACCAAAGATTCTTATAAACAACAAAAACACGGCCCCGTTTGGATCTCCAGCTCAAGACTTCACAACAGAACCATCAGAGTTTGAATGGGTCACAGGAAGTTGGACATTCCATGACTGAACTGCTGTTTTCACATCTTTAACCCTTTTTTACACAATCACAGGTGAAGACGGAGGATTTTAAAACAGAAGGTTCAACTGAGAGTCTCGCTACATAAACTTTTAGCTCCATAAACTTCAAAATTCTAGTTTACAATCTTTGAAATAGTTTGTGCCTTTGTCTGCTTGGTAAAGACAGGAGGCTGTAAGCCCCGCCTCCTCCTCCTGCTCCCCAGAAATGGAGGGAATCACCATGGCAACCTGTGACTCAGCAGATTAAAGAATTTGACGTCAGCTTTTCAGCTGACTCGTTACTCTCAAATTTTACAGCCTATATACAATATGTACATTAAATCAAAAGACAATTTAGTCAGGTTTTACTCTGCGTTTCTCTCGTTGCTGCAGGGCTGACAATTCTCTCTCAGATCCCATCATCCATCCATTTTCTTTTACCCGCTTCTTCCATTTTGGGTCTCAGGGATCGCCGGTGCCCATGTCCAGCAGTCACTGTGTTAGGGGTGGGGGTACACCCTGGACAGGTCGCAAGTCCATCACAGCAGAGCTCATCAAAAGACAGAAAAAAAATATCTTCACAAGCTTTCATTTTATTTGAGCTCAAAATATTCTCTTTTAAACAGGAAGTGAAGGCTCGTTTTTTTTTTTTTTTTTTAATTTGTCGCAATTCCTCCATGAAACACTGCAAACAACATTTCACTTTCATAACCACCAAACGTTTATGCTGCTCATAGTTCAGGATCTTTTAAGATCAGACTTTTAGTTTTCACACAGCGACGGTTTGAGGCTTACTTTTCAGTCAGTTTCTTTTCCTCTCATTAACGGAGTGACAGATGTGTGTGGTTACCATGGTTACCCTAATAAACACCTGGCAGAAACATAACGTTTCTTTTGATCTCTATGCTTTTTATTCTTTTAAAGTTTCTACATCAAAGTTGAGCTGCTGGTTCTGTAAACTCAAGACGGATCGGATCAGAAACAACCAGCCGACACGCGAGGATTCAGCTTCACATCAGAACTGGACAAACACTGAAAAATTCACAATAACCAACTAAAACTCAGATTAAGGACGCGTTGAAATAAAAGTTATGTTTTACACTAAATAAAAAATATATATAATTTGACTGAAAGTGTTAAAAATTCATTAATAAAACCTGTAAAAACAGAATGCTGGGAAATCAAACCTTTCACACGTTTATTGATCAAAATGAAAGAACTCATTGAATTCTGTCAGGTTTGGACTCCTCCTCCTCCTCCTCCTCCTTCTTCTTCTTCTCCTCCTCCTTCTCCTCCACCACCACAGCAGACCCCTTCACCTGCATCTCCTCACCTTCCTCCGCCCACGCCCCCTCTTCATCTCTGAAGGGCCAGCGTAGCTCCGCCCCCCTCCCCTCACCCATCAGAAACGTCCTCTCAGTCTTCTTTGCTGAGGACTCCTCGTCCTTTCTGTCCGGGGACATGGACCTCGCCTGGCGGTCTACGGTCCAGAACGTGCTGCTGATGACTTCAGCCTCTTCTGTGGAAAATATTTCAGCACCGAGTTACGATAAAATCTCTGCAGGTGCTCAGTTCAGAAAAGATTCGTCAGAATAAAACGCATCACATTTAATTTTTTTCCAGTTTTCAGCTCTGGATCATACAGGTGTGCGTTAACGCCAAGACGGAAAGACATCAGCAATGACCTCAGAGAGGCAACTGTTGCTGTCAATCTGGGAAGGGTCAAAGGACGTTTGGAGTGCATCGCTCTATGGAGAGAAAGATTATTCACACGAGGAGAACATCTCACACGGACCACATCAGAACCGTGGCTGGTGTTAGCGTAGCATTTCGATGCTAACGCGAGGTCGCTCATCCTGTTGCTACGATCTCCGCTCCCCGTCCGGAAGAAGAAGAACTTTGGTAGGTGGGGGCGCTCGGTTCCATTGACGGGGCGGGGCGCCCTCCTTGGATCATGGTATGTAATGGTTTTATTTTCTCTTCACTGGCCTCCAGTCCATTTCAGAATTTATTTTATTAGTCATGTTTGAAGCTCTTGGCGGTCTCGCCCCGCCTTACTCAGCTGATCCAGAAGATTTTCACGCGTGTAGAACTTTAAGATCAACAAAAACTTCTTCACCGTTTGTCCCTAAGTCCAAACTCCAACAAGTTGGGGGTCTGCAGCCAGACTCTGGGACCAGCCACCTCAGGACTCATCACTGATGTGGCTCTTCTTAAATTTAACCTGAAAACCTTTTTATTCAGGCAGGTTTTTAAATGCCTGGTGGCTTTTCTCCATTTTTGTAGTTTTTATTGTTAGTTTTTAACGTTTGTATTGTGAAGCACTTTGTGCACCTTCTGGCTGTTGGAGAAGATCTATAAATAAATAATGATTGATTGATTGATTGATTGGTAGGAGAAACACTGCGATTTTCACAGCAGATTCACCCTGAAGGTCAGACCGTGCATTTACTCTACAGGCCTCAGTCAACAGGTCAAAGGTCATGACCTCTTCTACCTAAAAACAAGGAAGCTAAACTTGGATTTGGAACGTTTCATCAGAAGGAACCACAGGACTTCTGGACCAGAACCTGACCAAAGGACAGACGTTTACCCAAAATGCACTGCAGTACACAGCTCCTCCAGCTGTCGGCATGGTGGTGGAGGATGATGGTTTGGGCTCCTGTAAGTCACTGAGTGGAACAGAGCTCCTCTGGAGACCAAAGGGTTCTGGAGTCAAACATAAGTCCATCTGTCCAACAAACTGGGTCCAACAGAACCACGATCCAAACACAGCAGCTGATCTACAACAGAACAGGTCACCAAGAACAGAACCATGGTGGTGAAGTGGTCCAGTCAGAGTCCAGAACCTGACACTGTGGTCGGACCTCAATGAACTGAAACAATGATGGAAAGAAGAGCGGTCCAGAACTCCTCCAGAACCAGAAGACTGGTACTGAAAATCTCTGAGGGTTCTGCAGCTGAAGCAGGTTCCGGATCTGTTTTTTATGAGTTTAGTTTTTTTGGGTCAACAAGCGAGCGAAGACTCACCTGCGGGTTCCTCGGCGCCGCAGCTGGAGTCACAACAATCACAAACCGAGTCCGGTCCAAAGATCTCCACCCACCTGAAACAGCAGCAACAAGAACTTCATGAGCTGAAGGGTTCGGTTCTTCAACCGTCCCCCTGAGACAAACGGACCTTTTGGTTCCGGTGTCGTAGCTGCAGGACTTGGCTGTCAGCGTCGGGACCGGCCCGCCCACGAACATGGAGCAGTGCATGAAGAGCCGCTGCACGACACAAACAAAGGTTTGGGTTCCCTTCAGTCCAAACGTTCAGCACCAGAACCTTTCTGCTCACCTGACCCGTTCTGCTCACCTGACCCGTCAATCCTTTGAAGAGGAACGCGTCGACGGAGAACCTGACGACGCCGTTTGTGTGTGGGAAGAACCTGGATCGGCTGTTCTTACTCTCAACCAAACACCTTCAGAGGAACAGAACCGACCCGTAACACCAGAAATCATTTCAAAAACAATTTGTTTTTAAATAAACGCTGAATACCCGAAGTCTCCGATGACCGGGTGCCGAGGCGTGGACAGGTGGGACTCCTCAGGAGTCACGTAACACGAGTGGACGTAAAGTCTCTCGTCGTCGTTGGACAAATTGGACTCGGCCTGGAAGAACACGGGCTGACCGAGGACGAAATGATGGGAGCGAGAGAGCTCCTTCCACTGGGCTGGAACACAAACAAACAAACAAACAAACAAACAAACAAAACATCAGGGTTCAAATGAATCCACGTTAAAACAGTTCAAACTCAAAAAGTTCTGTTGGGTTTGTGGCTTCAGCTCAACATATTTTACGGTTTTACTTGAAAACTTAAAACAGCAGAACCTGCAGTCCGTCAGCTTTTACTGCTTAAAAATATCAAACGAAGTTTGTGTAAATGTTGACGAACATCTGAACGGTAAAACACAAAGAACCAGACAAATAAATAAATAAATAAATAAAATTTAAAAAAGACAAAACTCGGCTGCAAACGTTGAAACTAACGTTTCCCAACTCACGCTGATGCTCCAGAACAGGAAGTGACCATATTTGGACAAACGGATGAAGCCGATTGGACAACGGGACGCATTTAAATCCTGATATTTTAAGTTAAGTGTTTTTCAGGACAAACCGGGCCTCGGATCAGAACCAGCAATTGGCTCTTAAAAACAAACAAAGATGCAAAACTTTTAAAGTACGATCTTCACCGCTCTTGTCCCAGAACATGCTAAAGATGACTCAGCATCACCAGGGGTGCCTCCAAGGGGGTGCCACGGGGGGCACGCCCCCCCCAACAATTTAATCCTTTTTGGTCCCGAACTTTTCCTTGGTGTGCATTTGTAATTTTCCAAAAATGTTTAGGGTTACAACCTCAAAAACTTAAACATAGTTTAACAATAAGAAATAAAAAAAAATATGAAAGTAAAAGTTTACCGTTTCGTGGCGTCAGAACAAATTTCGTGACGTTCTTCATTTTCTTGATGACTTTACGCACCTGGACCTTCGGAGTGAACCCGATTTTATATGAGTACACGAACCTGCACAGAGTTTAGAGCAGAAAGGTTCAGGTTCTGTTCCAACCAGGAGGTCCAGCAGGATTCTGGACCCGGTCTCACCGGTTGAAGTAGCACGCCACGGGCAGGCTGAAGGCCGCGGTCCGTCTGATGGGCCCTTTGGGTTCTGGTGGGTCGTAGCGAAGCTCGTTGAAGTAAACGATCCGGTTCTCAACCATCTGGACGGAACCAGACAAACAGTTTGATCAGTTTAATCAAACATGCTGATCACGTGATGTAGAAGAATTACAACTTCCGGTGCTGACAGCACTCCTAATGAGACCTGCAGACAGAACCGAGCAGAACTCACCTTCCGTTTGGTTCCGCACATGTGCAGCTCGTGCTCGAAGTACAGGAAGTCCTCAGTGGACCTGCTGATTCGGCAGGAGCCCAGTCTCAGGTGGGTCACCGGGTCACCGAGGCCCAGAACCTTCCGGTCCACCTGCACCTGCATTCGGTTCTGCTCGCACGACGTCCTGACGGTGGATCCGGACATGCTGGACGGCTGGGTGTCGGTCCGAACCGGGAGCAGCAGCTGCCGAACCGGGTCGGGGAGGGGCTCCTGACCCGAACCTCGGGCTGGGGAGAAGTACTCCCTGTGGACCAGGGGCAGGTCCGAGTCCAGGAACATGGGCAGGCTCAGGTACCGGTTCTGGAGCAAGGTCGGGGTTTCTCTCCAGTTCTGGTTCTGGTGGGTTTGATCTAAGGAGGATCCTTCAGAGGAGAACACGAGGAGGAAGACGAGCAGCTTCAACATGGTCGTTGGTTTCACCTGAGAGGTTCTGTCTGGTCCAGGTCCAATTAAACACACCTGGAGGAGAACCAGCAGCTCAGCAGCGCCGCCTGCAGGCAGGTACCGGTACCACGGCCATCCAGAACCTCAACCACACATTTAAAATCACAAAGTGTAAATTTTATTTGATCTTTTTCTGGTTATCAGGAAGTAAGTCCGTGACTTATGGAGGTCCAAGAGTGCCAAAAAATAAGACAGGAGCGTTTGTGTTCAGGGCCGTTTCCATGGCAACTCGATCAATCCTGCCTCCTGATTGGTCGGTGGGGAAGAGGCGGGGTCTCAAGCATCAACTGGATTTTCCCTTTTTGTGCAAGAAATCGTAATAAAAAAAAAAATCCTTTTTTTTTTTAAATTCTCATATTAATAAAAACACAAAAAATATTTGATGTGATGACTTGAGGTCACAAATATAAACAAATAATTTATAAATGCTCCATCGTGTCAGAAGTGGAACCAGGCCTGTCTTCATTTTATTTATTCAAAGTAACCAGACACAGAAAAAAATAATTCATTACGTAGATGTGAGTTTAAAGGTCCAAAAAGTTTTGAATTTAAATGCAAAAAATAAACATATAAAAACTAAATGAGGTCAATCTGGTCAGTTTACTTCAGAGTGAATAAAATCAGGTGTCTTTACTTATTTACATTTGTTTTTAGTTTTTATTTAGTTCTCAAAGAGACAACAGCTCCTTTAGAGAAAAGATCTTTAAATTTATTAAACAAAAAATAATTCTATATGATTTAATTTCAAATATATTTCTGACTTTTACATAAATTCAATTTGTTTTCAGGAGATTCTTCGTGTTAAATATTTAAAACCTTTTTCTTAAAAAAAATAATAATAATAATTACAAACCATTAGAGTCCCATGAACCTTAAAAACAAACTGATTTTACTCAGTCTTGTTTTTAAAACAATATTAAAGTTTTATTTTGTTTGTTTCTTCATTATTGTTGTTGTAAATGTCCCTAAATTCAAATCTAAAACCTTAAACAGAATAAATTAATCTGAAACGTGATCGAGCCAATAAATTAAAACTCCTTCACATCGGAGCGTTTTATTCTCTTCAGCTCAAAAACAAAAAGTCCCCGACTAATAATTTAAAACATCTAAACCCTGAAAATAACTAAAACAGAACAAAAGGCAGAAAAACAGAAAAGATTCAAGTTGATTATTGTAATTTTTTTCTGAAAAACAAAAAGAAATAAGAATAAAATCAGATTTAAAGCCTCAATGGACCGGCTCCAGTTCCCCCTGGTGAATAAATCGTTTATTAAATAATTAAACATTAAGAAATGAGACCCCTTCAAACTTAAACTCATTAAATACTAATTAAATCCAACATCTTGTGCTTTGAAGGTCCTGAACATCCAGAAATGTCTGGAAAACAACCAACGAAGACAGAAATTGTCTCTCCGTCTCTGTGTGGTGGCGTCTCTGACATCACAGCATGGCGGCGGCGTCTCATTGGTCCATCTCCTGTGATGTCACAGTGTGTGTTTGACGGCCGTCACAGGTTCCCGTCTGTTCTGCAGGTTCTGCTGCAGCTCTCTGAACAGATGGTCCCGCTGCTCGGCGTCCACAAGGACCTGCTGCAATGGACAATGAACCTGATTAGAACTGCAGAAACTAGAAACAGAGTTATACCACATGAGGTTAATTTATAGATGTGTTGTAGAAACATAAATTTATAGATATGTTGTAGAAACATACATTTATAGATATGTTGTAGAAACATACATTTATAGATATGTTGTAGAACCATACATTTATAGATATGTTGTAGAACCATACATTTATAGATATGTTGTAGAAACATAAATTTATAGATATGTTGTAGAAACATAAATTAATAGATATGTTGTAGAAACATAAATTTATAGATATGTTGTAGAAACA